ATTTATTTGCTTTCTGGGAAAGTAAATAAATATAAGTTTACCATAGTACCTTACACTGTCAAACTTGTTTTAAGGGGTTCAAATTGGGGTGGGTGGGACATAGTTCGGTGGGGGGGTGGTTGCGCTTCAACTCGCCCAGGGCACCAAAATGTCTAGAGCCAGCACTGATTGAGCTGATCAGTCTCAAACGTGTAGATTTTGTGTAAAACCTGTTAAACTGATCTCCAAAAGTCACGGGACGTCATTTTTAGATTTTCCAGCTGTCGTTATAAATCCTGATCCTCTGTGGGAAAACAGCTCCAACGCTGAGAGCAGCTTGGTAAAGGTTTATTTAATGATAAAGCACTGTTTATATTCTATAATGCAATGATTGTTCCACATTAGATTTACTGTGTTGAAGTCTGGGGGAAGGCATGTAAAACATTTACAAATTCTGCTTTTATTTCGAAAAGAGAGCCATAAGATTTATAGCCGGAAAACATTACAATCAGCCATCAAATATATCGTTTCTTTAAAGATATTAATATTTTATGATTGATTATAGGATTTTTCTGATTATATATAGGGCTCATAAAAACACTTTACTTTCAAATGTTCAGTCTAATTTAACTAAGAGGGAAAATATTTATAATCTTAAAGGATTTGAGATGTTTGTTAAACCTAAAATTCTATTTAATTTGAGAGACAGATGTACTTCAGCTCAAAGGAATAAAGTTGTGGAAAAACTTAATGATTATAAAAATGCTGGTTTCATTATTTGGAAGATTTGTTAAATTTGATTTGTTGACAAAACATGAAAACATAGAATAAGCATTCATATAAGCTGCTGTTTGAATAATTGCAAATCATTTTATTTATATTTCTTTATGCTGATGGTTAGGGTTTGAATTCTTTATTTATGTACTGTATATGTATGTAGCTGTGTATGTAATATATATATTTTCTTATTAAATGGGGTAGACGTTATAAGATATTTTTTCTTTCTGCTCCTTTTCATTTTCATTTTAATGACATTGTGTGTGTTATAGTTTGATTTTGTTTTGTTTTAATGAAATGAAATAATTTAATAAAAAAAACAGACAAACAGGAAGTCAAACTGCAGTCTGAGGAGCCTCACAGCTTTGGGAATGATGAGACCAAACACTGCACTTTGGTTCCCAAAGTTGGGCTTGTGACCCAATTATGGGTCATGAAGCACCTTGGATAATCTCCAGAAATCTATTTAAAGGGTAATAAAATAATTGCTGATGTAACATTTTCCCTATAACTATTACAAAAACACAAAATAAGTAAAAACAAGTATTTATATTTGTGTATAAGCTGTGTAGATTGTCAAAAAGCCTGTGTTTTTAGGGTTATAAATAAAGTTTGTGTACTCAGACCAGTAATATTTGGGGTCACAAGTTTTTGCCGTGGATATTTTGTGGGTCAGAAGATRAAAAGTTTGTGAACCACTGCTTTATACAACACTGACTCTGTCAAAGACTAAACCCTGGAACTGAATGTTTTCATATAGACAGTTGTGTTTTCAGCCGTGACAACAACTCTTATGTGTTTCAGTAAATGTGAGTTTCCACAGTGTTTATAAAGTGTTTATGGTCACTCAGTGCCCACTGTGTTCAGAGTGTCTCTGCAGTAAATGTCCCAGCAGAGCAGACTAAGTCTGAACCGTTGGTCTGCTTCAGACCTCCTTCTTCCACTTTTGTCTGTGAGAGGACACAACATGCAACAAAGTGTTACTCACTAAGTGATGTCACTTCCTGTCATAGGACCTCCATGAGTCTGTGGGAGCCGTGGACAGCTCAGTCAACATGGACCGCCTGAACAGGAACATGCCTGAGTGTGGACGCCAAACCTATCAGCTGTCACAGGTAAGAGTGGGTGTGCTTCAAGAGACACGTGGACTCACTGACACACGTCTGCAGGTAACAACCAGAGCTGAGCAGATACCTGTGGACAGGTAGCAGATACCTGTGGACAGGTGGCAGATACCTGTGGACAGGTAGCAGACACCTGTGGACAGGCAGCAGATACCAGTGGACAGGCAGCAGACACCTGTGGACAGGTAGCAGACACCTGTGGACAGGTAGCAGATACATGTGGACAGGTAGCAGACACCTGTGGACAGGTAGCAGACACCTGTGGACAGGTAGCAGACACCTGTGGACAGGCAGCAGATACCAGTGGACAGGCAGCAGACACCAGTGGACAGGCAGCAGACACCAGTGGACAGGTAGCAGACACCTGTGGACAGGTAGCAGACACCTGTGGACAGGCAGCAGATACCTGTGGACAGGTAGCAGACACCTGTGGACAGGTAGCAGATACCTGTGGACAGTCAGCAGACATCTGTGGACAGGTAGCAGATACCTGTGGACAGTCAGCAGACACCTGTGGACAGGTAGCAGACACCTGTGGACAGGTAGCAGATACCTGTGGACAGTCAGCAGACATCTGTGGACAGGTAGCAGATACCTGTGGACAGGTAGCAGACACCTGTGGACAGGTAGCAGATACCTGTGGACAGGTAGCAGACACCTGTGGACAGGCAGCAAATACCTGTGGACAGGTAGCAGATACCTGTGGACAGGTAGCAGATACCTGTGGACAGGTAGCAGATACCTGTGGACAGACAGCAGATAGCAGACACCTGTGGACAGGTAGCAGATACCTGTGGACAGTCAGCAGACATCTGTGGACAGGTAGCAGACACCTGTGGACAGGTAGCAGACACCTGTGGACAGGTAGCAGACACCTGTGGACAGATAGCAGACACCTGTGGTTAGGCAGCAGATACCTGTGGACAGACAGCAGATACCTGTGGACAGGTAGCAGACACCTGTGGACAGGTAGCAGACACCTGTGGACAGGCAGCAGATACTTGTGGACAGGCAGCAGATACCTGTGGACAGGTAGCAGATACATGTGGACAGGTAGCAGACACCTGTGGACAGGCAGCAGATACTTATGGACAGGCAGCAGATACCTGTGGACAGGTAGCAGATACATGTGGACAGGCAGCAGATACCTGTGGACAGGTAGCAGATACCTGTGGACAGGCAGCAGATACCTGTGGACAG